GTGGCAATATATGACTAGAAAAAAGCCTCTTGAAGAAATATTAGGGATTATAAAATTGTGAAACCACTTCCCATACCTCCAGAAGTGTCAAACAAACTAAACACCACAAGTTTTTCAAGCAAGCATTGAACTCAAACAAAGAGGAAAAAAATCCAAACATTGAACCAGTAATTTTCTGTACTTTCAGATTGTAAAATTCAGGAACAATCGTAGGAACATCAGATGAAGATAAGAACCATAACAAAAAATCCCTAAAATTAGGGCGCACCAAATTAGACCAATTTCAAGGGTTGCCACCGGTACCTATACGGATTGTTGACGTCATCCGACGATGGTTTGATGTTAGTAGGTCTTCTTGAGTCTGGGAGTTGGCAAAAAAAAAAAACTAATCCAAGGTTCCTTCCTGCTTTGATACCAAGTTGTAAGAGTGGGTGTGTCATTGTTCATACCCAAAACATTGCTTTTTATATTAAAGATAGTAATTACATCTATGTCCCTATATGAGCGCCCAAAATACAAATAAAGAGAAATGACAACAATACCCCTAAGCAAAATACATATTCTCAACATGTTTCACCATAAATATCCACTTACACTCCATTGGTTCTTTGCCTTAAGGAAGATCCACCAACTCCCAAGTGTTATTTTTGTGTAGAGCACAAATTTCCTCCTTCATTGCATATGTATGTTCAGGGATAGACAAGGCTTCTACAACACTTTTGGAAATGGAGACACAATCAATGGCAACCAGAAAAGCATGAAGTGAGGGTAAGATGTTTTCATAAGACAAGAAATGGGCAATAGAGTGTTTAGTAATAATTGATCTAACACCCTTTTTGTGAGCGATTGGGACATCAAGATCATTAGTAGAATCATCAATAACAATTGGTTTAGTAACATCAAGGGGAACAAGGATACTTGGATTCGTCTCCAAGGAGTTAGATGATGTCGGATGCATAGTTTATGGATGTACTACACCCTTTGAACTCAGCTGTCCCTTAAAACGTCTCAGAAAAACACAAAATGGGGTGGAGTCAGGAATGAATGGGAGTGACACTTGGGGAACTTGCCTCTCCTCTTGCACTCTATTCTCCCCCTGAGGAAAGGTCTAGAAGAAAGGATTAGACTCAAAAAAGGAGACATCCATTGATACAAAGGACTTGCAAGAGACATGATTAAAGTATTTGTAGCTTTTTTGGGAGGACGGGTAACCCAAAAAAATACATGGAACAAATCATGAACAAAACATTTATAACTAGTCAAACCGCACAGGAATAGAAAGCAAAGGGGATTGAGGAAACAAGAGTTGATGTGGGGCCTTGTACTGTAAGAGACAAGACAGCATGTGATTAATAACATATGCCGCAGTCATCGCAACGTCAATCTAGAACCGCTTGGGAGCATTCATATGTAGCATCATACTACACGCAACTTCAAGAAGATGTTGGTTCTTCCTTTCTGCAACACCATTCTATTGTGGTGTTTTGGCACAAGAGCTTTGATGAAGAGATCCATGAGCTGCATTGAAATCAGCTAGATCATGATGAAAATATTCATTCGCATTATCTGACTGGAAAGTTTGTATTTCAACATGAAACTGAGTAAAAACCATGCGATGAAATTCCTTCACAAATCTGGGTACCTCTTCTCGGGAATGCATAGGATATATCCAAGTATATCTGGATTCTGGAATAACCATCAACGAAGTTGATAAAATACTTGTATTTTCCCTCAATTGGTATGTTCATAGGGCCCCAAACATTATAATTTAGAGTGCACAACATGGAAAGGCAAGATAGATCTCTTATTACTTGAAGGAAAATTTGTTAAACAATGTTTGCTTAATTGACAAGTTTGACATTGCAATCCAGAGGTAAACACAGACTTAAAAAGATCAAGAAACATAATCACACTTGACTCTTTGTAGACTGACTTACAGACTAACTCAAAAGACTTATAGGAGCTGATGTCGAAGGACCAACTTTATTCTCCAAAATGTAGAGGTCATCAACCATATATCCTTTACCAATTGTCCTCCTCGAGGCCAAATCCTAAAAAACACAGGAGCAAGGAAAAAATTTTACACAACAATTCAGGGATTGAGTCATATTACTAATGGATAGCAAGTTAATAGGAAGTTTGGGAACATAGAGTATGGGGTAAGAGGTAAGGCCATCAGGAAAAGATATTGATCCTTGACCAGTTATGGTGGAGAAGGATCCATATGCTAATCTAACTTTATCTCTACCAGAGAGGAGAGTATAGTTCTGAAATAAATTTGATTTACCAGTCATGTGATTAGATGCCCCTGAGTCAATGATCCAAGGGGAATTTGAAATAGAGGTAGACACATGAAATGTAGAAGCACTTTTACTTGATGTAAATGCAAAGGAGGTAGGGGGTAGGATCCGACCTATCCATTTATCCTAGGGTCCTATCATATAGTTCCAAGTGATCTTTGAAGGAGTTAATGATGTCTTCCTTAGGGTTTGAGCCAACAGAACGCTCTTGGTAAGTAATGATAGTCGAGTTACTTGACTGAGAATCTTGAGTGGCTAGATTTGTAGAGGTAAATTTCTTCTGAATGGGCTTCTTTGAAGTATCCTGATTCTTGGTTGCTCACTTGGGTTTCCCAACTAACTCCCAACAAGTCTCTTGGGTGTGTCTGGGCTTTTGGCAGTGAGTACACCACAATTTATCCTTATCATCATTTTTTCTTGAGTCACTTTTTTTTTTTTTTCATTTCAGTGTTGCCCCCCCTTGCGGCTAGGGCAACTGACTGCTCCTCTTTAGAAGCATTCATCAGAAGCATAGACCTCTTGTACAGAGGGAAGTTCACTACTTCCCAAAATCTGCAGCTGAAGTGGTTCATAAACTGGGTTCAGCCCAAACAAGAAGGCAACCACATGTTGTTGAGAGACAAGTTTCTTATAAGCTTTAGCAACCTCATCATTTTTCCATTCAATAGTCTGATAATGGTCCAGCTCCTTCCACACAGAGGTAAGGGCTGAATAGTGGGCATATAGGCTACGGTCTCCCTGCTTACAAGTAGATGGTTCTGCTTGAAGTTGGTATATCTTAGCATAATGTCTCTGTTCTGAATAGGTTGCCTTGGCCTGTTCCCAAATCTCACAAGCTGTATCAGCCCATATGAAGTTCTTCTTTACATGTGGCAGCATAGAACCATGACATAACCATATTGTTCTTTTGATCCCATGTGTCATGTTTAGCTGTACCAGATTTTGGTTCTTTAACTTTCCCATTTATATAACCAGCCTTTCCCCTAGCCGTCACATACAGTTTGATGCCTTTGGACCATTCCAAGTAATTGAGACCACCAAAGGGTGTGATAGACAGAGAGAAATTTATGTTGTCCATCCCTCCATTCAGATTTCCTTGGGGAGAGGTAATACCAGAAGATGCTGAATCTTCAATGGACATTAGACTCACTATATTATTGATGAATCTTCAACATCCTGTTGCTAGTAGTCGATTACTAGCAGTCTCCTGTCTGTAGTACTCGACTACTACACGAAGAGATTTCTTAGTAGTTGACTACTACCTCAACAACACTGAGAAAAACTAAGGTTATGTACCTCAACAGCATTGTTATTGGAGCTGGGAAAAAAGTCCAACAAATACTTCAAGCAAAGGGAATAGCAGAATTTCAGCCACCTTCGAATAAAAAGAGGCCTTGGTAAACCAGTTCAATAGGATTGAGGTCGGGAAACCCTAGCCAAATAGCTATCAGCTTATAGCTTCAAAGAGATCCAATCTCTACAACTCCAAATTATAACACCCACAGTTATACCACACTAAAAAACTGAATATAATAGTACATACCTGGAGTACATAAATAAACTCCTGGCCCTACAGTCCATGCAAAAGAGGACAAACCCCAAGAATGCTATTCACTGCATTCGGCTGCCACCAAAAAACACCGTAGAGCCTCCTCTTGGTACAACGACCAAGAGAGAGAAAAGGAAAAAACTCAGAGGCACAAGCCTAGTTCAGCCTGATGAGTTTTTGGTTCTTCTAGTCAAAAGGAGTTTTCAAATAAAAACTCAATTTGAGAAGTCTGAGCCCGGATCAGTGCTTTGATTCCATTAGTCCAGCAAGAAGAAATAAGAAAAGAAGAAAAGGAGAAGAAAAGAATAAGAGGAAGGAGAAAAGAGATGGAAAAGTTCTATTCAAAAAGTTTTTAGGCTGGCGGCACCTAAGTTAGTATTTATACTTGGGGCAACAACATACAATAAAAGGATAAGTAAAAAGACAAAAATACCCATACAGCAATGCATAACATATTTCAACAGTCCCTTGTCAAGGCAATAGACTTGATGGTTGTATGGAGCCTCGGCATTTTCAATACTACAATAGATCAAAGTTTTTGTCTAGGATCACTTTGTTCCAGTGGATCCAAAGACCTGACAACAAGTTAGCTGATTTCTTGTAGTCAAGGAAGGACGAGTGCATTGGGATTGGTGTACATGAGGTGCTGTTGTGGTCAGCCTGGTGTGTTTTCTATTTTTTCCATGTTCTTTGTTTCTGTAGTCCTTATTTTGTCAAATATAAAAAATTCTTGGGTTTGTTACTGATAAAATCTTGTTATCTAAAATTTAAGATTATCTCTATCTTTTCTTTTCCTTTTCCTTTTCCTTTTCCTTTTCCTTTTCCTTTTCCTTTTTATTTTATTGCTGGTTAAGAAAAGCACAAAACATATATTTCTCATGTCTTTGTGCGTTTTCCTGGATCATATATATGGTATACCTAAATTGATATTAATTGATATATGCTGCCAAAGATTAGTTTATGTATTTTGTACAGTCTTTGCATGAGTTAGCTTATTTTTTGCTTTTTATTGAATGCCTTCTAGAGATTGAAGATCTCATGCAAGTTTTGTGCAAAAGAATGTGTTGGTGTAGCATGGAAAATTGCATGTACTAATTAGAGTGCTCTTCCAATAGCATTCTCTCTGCTGATATTATTTACTCTGCATGCAGGGGAAAAGCAGTTCATTAGGGGAGAATGTAACTGACAAACATGATGTATGCAATAATGAACGGAATGCAGATTCCTTTTATTCAAAAGAAAGTGCATGTTCTGTGCAAGAAGGTGATATGGATGTTCCAGAAATCATAGAGGAGATTATTGAGTTGCTATTGTCAGGATTGAGAGATACGGTATGCATGAATGCTGATGTTCTGTTTCCTAGATTCCTCATGTAAAACTAAGTAGGTCCATGGTTGACACTTGGCTTTCATTAGAAGATCTCTATAATGCTAGATACTTGCTCAGCTCATAATGTAGTAGAAGGTGACTCTTCTAGTGAAACCTACTAATCTTGCAAGATGGTATGGTTTAAAGCATTCCGGCTTAGTGCAAATTTAGGACACTGTATGCACCAGAAATGTTGATCTCTGGTTACGAACTGTTATGTTTGCCAATACATCCTCCTCTACCAATATGACATGTTACATGATTAAATTTTTGCTACAAAATGTCACTCACTGATATACATTCACATGCACAAAGAGGCACGAGATTGCCATTTATAGTTTCTTTTTCACTAGTTTTCTAATGCTGTTGATAGACAAATTCATGGCATATGATCATGTCATCATCATCATCATCATCCACACCTTATTCCATTCCCAACTATACTGTTTTGCCAATCCTTTCCATTTAAAGCCATATTCATTGTTAACTTATTAGTGCTTAAATCATTTCTTACTACTTCTACCCATGTCCTTTTTGGGTTTCACTCTTATTTTACATACTAATATGGAAATATCCCATTTATAGTTTCCTGAATACTTTAATCTTCATTACAGAGTGTTGAAGTTTGACCTGCCATAGAATTCTGTCTTGTTCGTTGACTGTAGAGTAAAGTAGACAGCAAGAAGTAGGAGAGGAAAGAAGAAAAGAGAGAAGAGAGCAAAGAGAGAAAGGCTGGTTCGAATTAGGGAAAAAAGTTAATCCCTTGATTCGGCCAGACCTATTATTATATTATTGACTTATTG